AGAGGGATTAGTTTAACTAATATTGTATCTAAAATACTAGCCTCGATAATTATCAGACGCCTAACTAAGACTCGTGAACTGCAAACACGAGAGAATCAAGCTGGCTTCAGACCTGGTCGTGGCTGCATCGACCACGTATTCACCATTCGTCAGGTTCTAGAACATAGGCATACTTATCGGCGTCCGACAATGGTGGTCTTTCTTGACTTGAAAGCAGCATTTGACTCGGTAGACCGCGAGATTCTGTGGCAGTGTCTGTCATTGAAAGGCGTACCTCAGAAGTACATAAACCTTGTGAAGGCTCTTTACTCGAACACTACCAGTCAAGTCAGAGCTTATGGCGAACTGTCATCTACTTTTGCAACCTCAAGTGGTGTCCGTCAAGGCTGTCCACTTTCCCCATTTTTGTTTAACTTCATCATAGACCTATTGATGAAAATAACATTCTCGTCGACTGAATTCTCGGTTATTGATCTCCTTCCAGGATGTCCACTTATCGACTTAGAATACGCAGATGACATAGTCCTGTTTGATGAAGACGCTGACAAAATGCAGAGTCTTCTGGTAGCACTAAGCAACAATGCCAGAATGTTTGGGATGCGCTTCTCTCCCTCTAAATGCAAGTTGTTGCTTCAGGACTGGTCTCCGTCAACACCTGAACTAAGGATAGGGAGTGAAGTAGTCGAACGCGTCGACAACCTCACTTATCTTGGAAGTCTGATCAGCCCTAATGATTTGGTGTCTGACGAAATCTCAGCACGGATTCGAAAAGCTCGCTTGGCTTTTGTCAACATATGTCACTTATGGCGAAGGCGAGATATCCGTCTATCAATAAAAGGACGAGTATACTGCGTGGCAGTTCGTCCTGTTCTAATTTACGGCAGCGAAACATGGCCATTAAGAGTAGAAGATATTCGCAAGCTACTAATATTTGACCACAGATGCCTTAGAAATATTGCTGGCGTCTGCTGGGATCATGGGGTAAGTAATAGTGAGGATAGACGCAGGGTATTAGGAAATGATGGTAAATCAGTTGATAAGGTTATGAATCTTCATCGACTGAGATGGTTGGGTCACGGGTTACGTATGCCTGAACACCGATTACCACGACGTGCAATGCTAACCGGTGTTCGGGATGGTTGGAAGAAAGTTAGGGGCGGCCAAACCAAAACGTGGCATCAGTCCATAAAGTCACTAACTTCTGGTCTGAGCCATGTTGGTAGATGCAGGCTACTTGGTTGGGGTCCGCGTAACTATCGTAACCAATGGTTGGAGGCTCTTGGTGACATTGCTCAGAATCGATCACAATGGCGTCGGTGTATACACTCTCTGTCTTCCCTTAAACTAAGAGATTAAAATTGCTTCATATCTTATTTTCTATGAACGTATTCTTTCTTCCAGTATTATATCCTTATTGCAATCTTTGTCTTATATATTAACACCTCTGAATTAACTACTTTTATGAATTCGGTGTCCATCTTTTTGTGTTAACGAGGTATGGCAACTTGGACCGATGCATTTATGTGCCTGGTCCTACGTTGTAGCTGACTGACCATTTGAAGGCGATTAAGGCGATTGGATGCTGTTTTCTATCTTTCGTCTTACTCCAGTGAGTATTGTATTTCGGAGTGGTTGTGGAATTCGTGAATGCACAAATCATGTATGGAGAGTTCAAAAAGTGGAAGGACACAGTCATCCATTACTGACTGATTACAAGTGTCTATTCGGATAGAGTTGAATGACTGAGCGAATTACCTTGAAGCAACTATGTTGATACCATATATCAGCAACACATTCGTAGTTGACTTGTATATTGGTCTGGAAGTGAAGACTGGAACACTGATTTCATTGCATTTGAGACTCATCAGCTGGATGCTTTTGCATGGTGTAATTAATATTCGCATGGAAATTCGAAGCAAGTACCTTTCGTTTCGAGCACCAACACATGATCTACTGATGTATTGAGTTCAAATAGTCAGTAGATTGTTCAACGGTTGTGAATTTTATTTTGAAATAGTTTTCATTTAGCCGTTGTTGATGTTGAGTGTTGTAATTGATCAGTCTGATTTGCAACCGTATCGTCATTCAGTCACCGATTCTAAGTAGAGTTGGATGATGACTGTTAGTGGATTCCGAGATGTGTGCATCGTCCTACATAAGCGTAGTCAATCTCCTGAGGGAAAAGATTGTTATGTCAAAGTGTGGAAAATCGAACGTTGTATAATTTACATAAATAAATAATGAGTATTGTGAAACGTGTAACGCAGTGGTGAGTAGTGCATGAACCTGTCTCCACATAAACGGATTCTATTGTGTACTGAAGGCGAATGTGGAAGTATTAAAATGAACTGAATATGCAAACAATGACTGTCTGTCCTGAAACTGTGAACAGGCTTGTTGACTATGAATACGGTATGTTTCCGTTTATTTTAAAATGAATTTAGGAACTTATACTGGATATAGTGCATTGTCTATCGCGGAAGTATTGCCATCAGATGGGCGTGTATTAACCATGGAAATAACAGATGAATATTTGAAAGACTATTGTTTGCCAGCATGGAAGAAAGCAGGTGTAGAATCGAAAGTTGATTTCCAACTCGGTCCAGCTGTTGATACTCTACGTAAGTCTGATCATATGGTGTCGTATATTATTTTCAAGAAAAAACAAAATACAGATGTACAGTCAATGTTTTAGCATAGAATATCCATGGTGATAAGCAGTTTGTCATCAGGTTACTGATGTGTTCACTAGTGTCAGCAATACTATCTGATTGGTTTTGGAAAAAGATAATATATGTGGAATTCATGCTACAGTTCTGTTTAAGGTAGTTGAAAATAATGGAATGTTGGTTAATGTGGACGGAATCCACAAGTAATCTTCTGATTAAGAAGTATTAGTGGAGTGGTCAGAAATACATAGATATCAAATGACTGAACTGCAAACAACTTTCATTGATATCGGTTTCGATATGCTTTGGTTTAAATATTGTCTGAGTTAACCACTTGTACAGACTATTGAAAAATGCTGACCAAGTTATTGTGTTTGTATGTCCATTAGTTCTAAGTGCATTATTGATATGTTTGATGAAGTTCCCTCCTATAATGTACATGATGTATGCGAGAAGCTATAATGTTTGCACTAGACAACATTATCAGGTCTTGTTTAGATTGCATGACACTTTTTGAAATCATTTCAAATTATATGAGAATTTCCGTCTAAATTTGAAGTAATAGATTCACAGTGTTTGTGCACCGAGATAATGCGTGACATTGAAGAGAAGGAATATATTGGCAAGGTCTCTGTGATTGAGTCCAGTGTTTTGCTCGAAAAACTGTATGCCAAATAGATCATTCAATCATATTAATGACATTTGAAGGAAGTATCTTCTGTAGTGTGTATGAGATACATGTAACGTGTGTGACGAAATGTGTGTTAAGGAAACAGACTGTAAGTATTGTGTGTAAGTGGATCAAAGGTATGAAAAAAGGATTTCATTTTGATTGAAATCACGAATCGATGGATGTTAGACCATCACTGAAAAACTGGAAGCGGTATGAGATTCCTCAAAAGTGCGTATTCACGATCATCCATGAAGGACTCGAACCCAGCACTCTCAGTCTCGTGCACGAATTATTAAACTCTAGACTACTGTGCCAGCACATATATTTATTCGGTTAGTATTTGATAACAGTTGGATGTATGTAAGTACGTTCAGTTTGATAACAGGTTTGTCGTAAACTATTTATTGATTTGGTAACTGAACATTTTATATTTTATTTATTGGTTAAGCGCCTGGCGCGAGACCGATAGGTCCCGGGTTCGAATCTCGCGGGGAGCGGGATCGTGGATGCGCACTGCCGAGGAGTCCCATGCTAGGACGAAACGGCCGTCCAGTGCTTCCAGGTTTCCAACGGTGGTCTAACATCAATTGATTCATGATCTCAATCAAAAGCTTAACAGTCTCCACAACCCTTATACTGATAATTTTGCATTTTAATTGAACTGTTGTGCCAACAGATAATTTGATTGATAATGGAGAGAGTGAAACATTCGATTTTGCCCTGATCGATGCTGATAAAGAAAACTATAGTAATTATTATGAACTATGTTTAAAACTAGTTCGACCTCGTGGAATCATCGCCATTGATAATGTAAGTTTGTTTTATTTACGAGCATATGTTCTATGTATCTCAATACATTTGAAGTCAACTTTCATGACGAATTGATCTTTTAATGAATATTAATGAACCTTCTGTTTGGAAATATCTCGCCCTTAAAAATGCTTCTACATTTCATAAATTGTCGAGGGAATATTTCACATATTCGATGAAGTGTGAAGTATAATGTTAATAATAATAAATGACTATAGTTGTACACCTTCTGCTGAATTACATAATACAGAAGATCCACTATGCTTATCAGCAGCTCTTTTCAATCCCTTGGTTCATATTTTAGATATCAGCGTTCAGGGTGATTTTGACTTCCGGTTTAAAACTCCATACTGCAATCGAAACTCTTCAGAGCTTGAGACACAAATTCCAGATTTTAAGTTTTCGGTTGTCTATCCGTAAAATCTGTATGTCTGGTTTGATAAAACTTGGAAGAACAAGGGTTATGAACGTTGGCCTGATAAATTGGATGAAACCAATCACCAAATCAAAGGAACCTTCTATGGTCCGATGAGGGTTATTTGAAATGTGACAGAAAATAAAATGTCTCGTATATGAATGAGATACATGATTACGATGCTATCAAAGCGCATTTGATAATTGTTTTCCATCCCTTTTTGATCATTATTTTTTCTCCAGGTTCTACGGAGGGAGCGTGTGCTCGACGAGAATGATAACAGTCGTGCAACTATCGGTATAAGAGAAATGAATGCATTGATAGCTAGAGATAACTCTGTTCGAATTTCTCTCTTAAGAACTGGAGATGGATTGACAATTGTTGTGAAGAATTGATTCGTGTTATTATTGTTTTCGGAATGATTACATCCATACAGACATAAATACATTTGATTGATAAACCGAATTGCTTTGATTGCTTTCGCACATAAATATTTCCTACTACTAAGCTGTCATTTTCAATCATCACTGCATATGTATGTTGTTGTAATAAAACATTTCCCTGAAGAGTTTCTGTATATTACATACCGTTTCAATCACTTTGTAATTGGCACTAAACATGTCTGAATCTCTCAAATGTGAGGAAATTCGTAGTATTCTGAGATTCTTTTTATAGTCTGAGGAAATATGAGGGGATGTAATGACTAACTAGAGGTCAGTGGAAACTTGTGGCATTTTAATCGCACTTTTCCCATAGTAAATCTCCAAAATTTCTAATATGACTTTCCTGAATTTGACGAAATTCTCCTCAAATTTGGATAATTGGGATGATACGATGAAAACAAATTAAGCTTGCTGTTTTCAAAATGGTCGATATTCAGCCTAATCCTTAAACTTTGTATACAGTTCGTCCTGATAATCGTCATTAGAAAATCCCCCCAATGGTGTATTAATCAGAAGGTGAATACGAAGCAAGCATGAAAGAGTAATGCCGAAAATCTAGAGAGCAAGCGAAATAATGAACAGGATCAAAATGTACATATATATACATAGTTAAATGAATGAATCATTGAATCATTTAAGCGACTAATAGTAAGGCTAGCAGTATGAACATTGGCGTAGTCAGTAAACAATGCTTAAGTATACATATTCATATAAGTGCAACAATAATAAAGGTACAATCATCTAAGATAAGTTGTTATTGTACGAATGATTCTATCCGTTAAATAAGCTAACAAAATGGCTTAACCAAATGAAATGTAAACAAAGTGAATTGCATGTGAACAAACTACTATACATTATAGCTTGATAATTTTTTTTTAATTTTCGAAATATGTATATCAGTCCCACCCCCCCTTTTTTTACACATCAAATTACAATCCACTTATCAACCATAAATCAATAATCCAATCATAATGAAATAATCAATAATAACCCGGGATATCAGTTCATTTATTTTAGTTTTTAAAACGAAACAAAAAATATATGTATCAGTTTATTTAAACACAATTTACTAATATTGCGGTAATATAAAAATGAGAATTTAGTAGTTGAGATGATAGAACTTGATTAAGAAAATGAATCAACAAGAAACAACTACAAAAATCAGTGTTGATAAAGAATATAGAAAGTATGATTATTCAAAGAACTTTGACAAGACATTGACAGAAGAAGAAGAAGAAGATTCGACGAATTGTTCGTCAAAGTTACTTGAACATCAATCTCAATTAGAGAGTCGTCTACTCACTTGTGAAGATCTGATTAATTTAGACAAAATTGAACCTCGTTGGAGATATATTCGAATAGGATTATTAATTGGATTTGGGATTATATTTTTTGGTCTTTTAGCAGCATGTATTGTTTACATCATTTTTGAACAAAAATGCCCATCTGTGCCCAAATTACCATTTTGGAAATCAACAGTTGGTTACTGGTTAGATGTGTTTGCATTTAAAGACTCTTCTGGCGATTTAGTCGGAGATCTAAACGGTAATGAGTATTAGTGTAAAACCTCTATCACTCAAATGATGATTTTATCCTTATAGGTCTCACATCTGAAGTAGATTACATCAAAACTGTAGTCGGTGCAGGATATGTGATATTAGGTCCCATTACTAAAGGATTTTACACTAATTCATACAATATGCTCGGATTAGTGGAAGATTACGAGCAGTTAGATGAGGCAGTCGGTACAATGGCTGATTTTCGTATTCTTTTAAAACAATTTCATAAAAAGGATATAAAAGTTATCTTGACATTCGATTTCAATGCGATATCCATCAGTCATAAATGGATCATACAGAACAAAGTCAAACTGACGTTGTTTGATGATGACTTTAAGAACAAGGTAAAACTACTTTCATTGTTCTATAGTCTCTTTACACTTTATCTACATAAAGAAGTCACGATATGGAAATCGATTGGACGTGAATATTAGTCATCAAAAATACTATTCAGTTTTTGAATATCCAAGCATAGATCTAGATTTAACTTCTGCCAAAACTCAGAAAGCAATATTTGTATGTTTCAATGAATCCACTTATTAAACTGTATTATTACCGATAGGATGTGATCCAATTTTGGATGAAAGAAGGAATAGATGGAATTCTCCTGGATAATGCTGCATTTTTTGTTGAAGAAGAAGAAGAAGGAACACAAAGCAACGTAAGTCTACAAATGATAATTCAATCATAATTTCTTATCCCTTTATAAACTATTCTCTTTTCTTTTACTCTATCTGTATATTTAGCTCAGTTCAACATGGTTGGAAAACTGTCCTAATTCTCAATTATATAGAAATGGAAGTGTGAAATTTGTTGAAGGTGTAAGAGAAGAAATGAACAAGTGGATTAAGGAAAGTGGAAAAGAAAAGTAAGTTCGTTATTGATTATTAATGTTGATGAATGTTTTGTCGTTTAAATCAAAGTGGTAATCAAAATTGTATCAGAGACGAATGTACACCTTTCATCTGCTTTAATGTAAATCAGTGATACTTTCCATTATTTATAATGCTGTGTCATCTCGGTAGTGTTAAAGTACTAGGTTGTAGATCACAAACGTAGATTATCAATGTCGAATGATTAGAGACCTACTAGAGTTAGATGAGAATGATGTGACGAACTAGCTAAATTCTAAGTCACATCTTGCGGTTAACATTTAACGTGGATTACTTCTTCGACGTATAAAAGTATTATGTCTACTTTGAAGACCGTATAACACAAATGATGTTATTAAGGAAATATATTAGTATGAATGAATACAGAAAAAATAGCGAGACCATCACCACATGCACCGGTCCATGGCATATGATCAGCTGACGAGCGTTGGTTGTCCTTGACTTTAACAGGGATCAACGATCTGTTCAATATTCAGTCACCCAACTGCCGGATGATTTGGCTATTAATCAGTGACGTTTCACTGGCCCTACAAAGTGATAAATAGAAAGTCATCTAATTGGAAGTGAATGAAAGTACACTTCTTAAACATGCAACAAATAGTTAAATACTTTCAGGGGTTCAGTAGATGCATAGCTTACTAAATAAGACTACTGAATAACAGAATTATTAAACTACTAGTGACAATCTGTGTTTTCTTGTATTCACATTGAATATTGAGTCATTCAATCGTTTTTTATAAAATTTGTTACAGAGTTAGTTATTGCTCAAACCATTAACATCATATTTAAATTTACTGAATTTCATACTGTTTATGTAAATGATCTCAGAAACACTTGTTTGTTCTTTGTGCAATATCTTCTACAGATTATTGGCTGTGAACTCTGGTGATACAGGTTGTGGTGTGGGCGATAATCCAGATCCAATGTTAATGTTCCGAGATGTGGCTGATTTAATAATCAGTCGTGAATTTGTATGGGGGAGAGGTGAAAAAGAACGTGAATTAACATTTAACCAAACAGCTCTACAAAAATATCTCACATATACAGATTCCGACAAAGAGATACTTGGTTTGACCACTAGCACTGTTCATATTCCGCCATATGGAGATACGCTTCAGCTTGCGACAACATTGTTATTGCCAGGTATAGGAACATAAATAATAAAAAGACTTTTTAATATTATCCATACAACTCTACACGTTGCCACAATCTTGTGACTTTAAAATCTGAATTTAGTAAATAACTTCTCCGAATACATAATCATCAATGATATACTAAACGGAAATACCAGATGACAGCATTTAAGTTTGATAAGAGATTATGTCTAGTGTTGTCATGGCTAATCCACAGTGAAATGAGGTATAGAACTGTTAATTGTAAACTCAACAATCACTTTACTAATAATAGTTTACCGATTAAGTTTACTAACATGATCTATCTTATATCACAGTGAGTGATTGTGAAAATATACATTACAACTATCTGCAATTCTAAATATAAAATAACAGACCAGCTTCCTCTGCGGATCTCTTGATACAGACATGACTTAAGTCATCCTAGTAGGTTCTTTCTGTAGAACAACTTCTGAGGGAATATATGTGATTTGTCTTCGTTTGTCCCACTTCTAGTATCTTAGGGAGCATGATGAAATTTTGCATAAGGTATCTTGTCATTGAGCACTTGTTAGTTAAGGACGATATTCGACGTATGTGAGGGCTGAGATACTGCTCGGGTGCTCAGACCAAAGCAAGTGGTTTTATTAGGGGACCACACCCCGAGCCTTTGACCTGACGGTTTAAGCCACAAGGCAGTGGAGCAACGTCACAGTATGCAGTTCAATGGTAGCCGATGACAAAAAATTGGTTCATATGCCATTTGTTTCCTTAAGATATTGGAGTCAATGAGGACCGTTGGTTTGAAATCAGGGTTTTCCAACTCCCCTAGATGGATCCTTCGTATCCAACAACCCGGTTAAATCGTTGGACATTCGCTTTTCGTCTTCTTGGTTTCGTAAACAACACCCTCGACGCGAGAAAGCAGGGATTAGTACTTCCCTTGAAGTGGTTTTATACACGTGGCTATTTGAGAGCATTTCGAGAGGGAGAGCTGACTGTCCTCACTCTCAGCCGTATCAGGGCATTTGGAGGTATGGAGGATATTAAATTGCGAAATGTGTTCACTCAAATGAATTATTATATAATATACTTCTCACCACTATTTTATCTTATCTATAGGACAACCAGTAATTTATTATGGAACTGAGATTGATGTAAACAGAGTCACTTCACAATATCTTCCTGTAAGTATTTATCCGAAAGGAAAGAGTTATAATGATGAACCATTTGATAAATATTCGTCTGTGTTATCTCATATGCCAATGCCATGGGATTTTAATGGGAAGAGGTTTTCGGCGACAATAAATGATTCGAGATTTCGTGACTATCTCAATGATTATAATAACAAAAAAGTTGTTGAAGTAAGTAATATAGTAACTTCCATGTATTCACTCATCAAATGCTTGTTTTCTTTGTGTAGCCGAAATGTTATTTTATTAAAATTATGTAATTCCAACAAAAACAACTGACAGCTTTTGCTGAATATCTACTATGAGACCAAAACATGCTTACTTACTCCTCGTGGAGGAGCATTAGCCTCCAACCAGCACTCTCCATCCAACCCTGTCCTGGGCAGTCTTTTCCAGTTCTTTTCGGTTGTTATTCATCCTTTTCATATCTGCTTCTATTTCCCGGCGTAATATGTTCTTTGGCCTTCCTTTTTTCCGTTCCTATTCAGTATTAGATGTTAGTACTTGCCTCGTGATGCAGTTTGGGGATTTTGGTAATGTATGTCCTATCCACTTCCAAAGTCTTTTCCTAATTTCCTCTTCATCTGGAAGCTGGTTTGTTCTCTCTCACAGTATCCGGTAATTTTATGTTGCGTAGACAACTATTTATGAATACTTGTATCTTCTTGATGATGGTTGTATTAGTTCTCCAAGTTTCAGCTCCATGAGTGCAATTTAATGACAAATAATTCAAAACCAAAGAAAATTAGGAAAAATAATTGTTTTTAATAAATTCATCATCAGGCTCTGCAGTTATACGCAGGTGTCGTCCACCCCATCCCAACATGAACTCTGAGATGCAGGTACATCCAGCTGACGAGTCCCAAATTGGACGAAACTCACGTCCTGCATTCCACTGCTAGTCACTATCCGTCTTTTCTTAAAAATCTCGTGATTTAAGGCTATATCGAGGCAAGTTGCACAGGTTGCACATACGCTAACAAGAGACTGATTAGTTGCAGTCTTAAATAACAATGCAGAGATACGAGTAAAACAACACCAACTGAATTTGGGCTTTTAATTTACTTCTAATATTTACAAAGTATGCAGTTGAGCCTAGCCTGAATTTACCAATGAAGATGTGTAGTTAGCAATCATATAAACTTAAGTCATGAATGAATTCATTACCCGGTTGGCTCAGTTCTCAGTTGATTGGAATATATCATTATTTACATAAACGCCTTTTATAATGCTGAAGCAGTTGTCATTATCGCGTGAAAAATCATATTTGTTGATTGATATGAGTTAGTTGTTTAGTTCTTTTACTGTACAATAAGTATTGTCAATCATTGTGAGTATAACAATCTTCTTTATCTTTAAAGAGTGAACTTGCTGAAGGAAATGACAAATCCGTTCTTCGTCTTGTACAAAAATTAGTAGCTTTACGTCAAAATCCTAGTATAAAATGGGGAACAATGGAGCAAATAAATATTGATCAAGTAAGTGATTTCCCAGCTTATACACTCGATAAATTGTTTTTCTAAAGTAATTTCTTAACTCAACTATTAACTATGAAGGCTTCTTCAACACTACGGCATGCCTAAGAAAATAGTCAAAATAATACGGAATTCCTATGATGGATTAAACTGCAAAATTTTGTATGAAGAACAGTTGACAGACTCATTCGAGGCAAAGACCGGTGTCAGATGAGGTTGCTTACTCTCATCCTTTCTCTTCCTTCTGGTAATCGACTGGGTTATGAAAACGGGATACAGTATACATCTAGGATGCAGATGGACGATCTAGACCTCACAGAGGATCTGGCTCTTCTATCGCAAACGCAACAACAAATTCAGGAGAAGCCGACCAGTGTAGCAGCAGCGTCAACAGCAGTAGGTCTCAATATACACAAAGGGAAAAGCAAGATTCTCTGACGTAACACACCATGCACCGATGGGGTCTCACTTGACGGAGAAGATTTGTAAGATGTAAAAACCTTTACATATTTGGGTAGCATCATTAATGAACATGGTGGATCTGATGCAGATGTGAAGGCGCGGATCGGAAAAGCAAGAGCAGCATATTTACAACTGAAGAGCATCTGGAACTCATAACAGTTATCAACGAAAACCAAAGTCAGGATTTTCAATACAAATGTCAAGAGAGTTCTACTGTATGGGGCGGAAACTTGGAGTACTACGAAAGCCATCATCTAGAAGATAGAAGTGTTTATTAACAGTTGTCAATGCAAAATACTTCAGATCCATTGGCCGGACACTATTAGCAACAACCTACTGTGGGAGAGAACAAACCAGATTCCAGCTGAGTCATAAGGCAAGCCCTCACTTGAAATCCTCAAGTGCAAAGGAGATGAGGAAGAACAATGAACAACAATTGGATAGAACTAGAAAAGAAGGCTCAGGAAAGAGTGGGTTGGAGAATACTGGTCGGTTGCCTATGTTCCATTGGGAGACAATCCGCACAGGATGCATATATGCCAATAAGAGACTGATCAATTTCAGTCCTAAATAACAATGGTAAGATACAAGTAAAACAACATCAAGTGATATTTACTGGTAAGTTTACTTTTATCAATAAAATACAAATTAAATAAATATTATTAATGTACTTTGAAGTATTTCTTTCTTAACCGCTTTTTCACTTTGAAGTTTCCATTGAATATGAAACATCATCCTTTTTCATGACATTAACCATTCACTTTAAACACATATCCCAACATATAATTACTTATTCATGTATTATTTACATATGAATGCATAAAGTGAAATGACCTAGATTCAACTGATAACTTCTAATATATTTGGGCAGTAAACATATAATGATCTCCCAACACGGATGTAGTGAACAGATCTACTGAAATGAATTTCATAATTATTCTAGATAAAGCTTCTCGATATTACGTGCGCTATACAAGTTTCATTTTCACTTAAAGTAGTAATTACTGTTTTCCAGATTGATGAATAGCGGTCGGCTCAACATCTTCCTATTCAAAGTAATTAGTTGGATGCCGGCTCAGTGGTCTAGTTGGTTAAACGCTTGGTGCAAGACTGATAGGTCCTGGGTTCGAATCTCGCGGGATGCGGGATCGTGGATGCGCACTGCCGAGGAGTCCCATACTAGGGCGAAACGGCCGTCCAGTGCTTCCAGGTTTTCCATGGTGGTCTAGCTTCAATCGACTCATGATTTCAATCTGTGTAATTAGTGCCTTTGATAAATTTCGATAGTGTAATTAAGAAGACGAAGATGAACAGAACTATGTGATAATATATATATATCAGTACAATACATTTCGAACAATCTGATCACACATAATATACATGTTAGGAACATTTAGGTCAACTAGACTCGAAATGAAGTGTAAGAGGAGACAAAGATAGTAAAGAAAATAATATGAAAACAGTTTGAAACCTCAGAACTCTTGATAATGAACTAATATTACCAGGGTAGGTTTAGGATAAGAACAGATAGTTTTAGACTGCACAAAGGGGGTTTGAATTTTCGTATGGCTAAGGCTTCAATAAACCTTAGTATACACCCTTTTACACATTTTCACAACATCACAAAAGCCTAATTAAAATCGATCTTATGACCTGCTTCAATTATGTGTTTGGCAATAGACGACGATGGATGTTTATCCTCTACCCTTATTGGGTCATTTAATTTTATTTGTTTCTGCAACCATTTAGGTACATGTTCACACACCCTAATACTGAGATCACGATTACTGTCTTCTTCTAACACTATCGGAATCTTCTTAATCTTTCAACTGGTCTATTGATCAACATCTCAATTAATTGACCATCGATTATTATATTCGTCTTCCACACATTCATTTATAGATTTTGCCTTAAATTTCATTACTTATTTCAGTGTTGTTGTCTGTATTTCTACCAAACAGAAATCATCTCATCAATTTACTTAATATGCATTCATTTCATGTAACTCTAAGTCTACCAAATGCAATGATATTATCTATTTATCGTTTTCCATTATTCTTCACTCGCCTGTGGCTTGCAGCTGGATGGTGAACATACGAATTATTTAAAATTAAATGACCACTGAATAGTAATCGTTGTCATGTGTGCCTTGTCCTGATTAGTACTGGTTGAATTTTATTGATCAATTTGGAATGTGATTCATAATCTAAGCGACTTGACATCGTGTGCACTATGCTGTGATATCAGCTGATAGCTTTCGGGGGTTGGTACACCTTACTTGCAAGTGTAAAATTGAACGAGACCTAAGTTTAGGGTTTACCTATGGACTACATTTAAAAACGACCACTTGGCACAGGGATTTTCGCTAACTGTTGTTTGAACTGAACGATTCTTATTATTGTGTATTTTACTGTGTAGTTTTTGAAATCATGATAAATAACCAGTAAAACTCATTTGTGAGTAAATGATTTTAAAAGTTGTTTTCGTTTTAGTTATGATATGTTGCGTGGCATTTCCGTTGGTCAATTGCTATTGCTGTGAAGTGTTTCACATGTTTTCTAGTTCTTGAAATGGGAGAGTTTTATGTAGTTATGTCATTGTTATCAAAGTTAACAGATTACTTTAAAGAGGTATTTTCGAATACATTTTGCATAATATGTCTTCATCTTGTTGACATGTGTTAATTTCTTTACAGGAATCTGTAAGTCATGCTGAAGCATTTGCACGAAAGGCGAAAGGTTTTCCAACATTCATTGTGGTATTAGTAAAGTATTTCAAGGAGGATTATTTTTTAGATTTAACTTCTGTTTGTTCATCAATTACACCAAGGGTAATTTATCCTTCACATCCACAATTATCAGTTGACAATGCATTATCAACTTCAAAAATATTCATCCCCAAACTGATATATTCTAGTTACATTTTAGTATTTGAATGTAATTAATTATATTTCCATATAATAGATTTCTCTCACATCTGATCTGAACTTATTGTTTGCACTTTCATTCATTTGCTTCATGTTTGGTTTTCTGCACTTAGCACGTAAACAGAATTTATCAGTATGGGGACTTGTGGAGGTTGTAGTATTTTCGCTGTTGAAATCACAAGTCAATTTAAGTTAAACCACCATTGAAAACCTAGAAGTACTGGTGTTTAGCTTCAAGATGTAACTCCTGGTGTTTTAGTGATGAACTTTGACCAATGAAATGGAATCGGTGTCTAGTGTGACACAATTATTCACCTCAGGCAGTGGATACACAAACGGGGAGACGAACTAGACTATTCATCCATACTTTTTGAAATCACTATCGGGTGGTTGGAAAACGTAAAGCGTAATTTTGCTTCAGTTAATGTATTTCTCAAAGCTTTTGAATACGCTGAATTACTACTTCACTGGCTACATCACCTTTAAACTTTAACTTCAGGAATACAGGCTTTTTCAATACCGTCGGTGATTTGACTTCGGGTTTTGTTCCAGGCATATGTTTCGTTAGGAACTTTGATCGTTACCCATGTTCACATATTAAAATCACGAATTAAAAATTATCTGTTACATTGTGCTATAAGATTTTTGTTTGTGTAACAGCTTCGGAAATTCAATTAGTCATTTTGCAGTTGTCTGATCAGTTCAACTGACTATATCGAACATTGAACAAAGTAGTATGCATTCTGTGTAGTACTCAGTAACAAAAGATTTTACAAGACCGTATATATTGATTAATGTTAATTATGTACCAAACGTTATGTTTAAGCTTTTGAGATCTGGATATTCCTAGACTCTTGAAAATATGAAACATTTAACTGGGTGATTCAAATAGTTCAAATGGTTATGGACGGAATAGGAGAAGCTTTCACTTAACGGGATTTCATGTCTAGTCACAGTGGATCACCAATAACTACAGACGGGAACCTAGGTATATTAGCGATAACAGAGTAAAAAGAAATTGGCAAATCATAGTAAGATATTTTCCTTAGTCCTTAAGAATAGGTCAAGTTGCCTCTTAAAGGAATCCTGGAAAGCCGCTTGGACTAGCTCAACCGGCAGCGAATTCCAGCTTTTGACAGGTCTTATGGGGTAGAATTTGTGTCTACATACCGTTCTGCTGTGTTGTGTCTGCAATTTCTGGGTGTTACCCCTAAGGTGTGTGTTAGAGCTAAACTTAAGTAGGTGTTTAAGGAGATGTCTAGAAGTGTTAAGCATACTGTAATCATATGGAATCTTACTCAATTCACTTCAAAATGGGACTTCTCGAATCGAGAGGCTAATAGATTGATTAGGAATGAAGGTTCATTTCGGCTTGTTTAATTTTTCACTCAGGCTAATTTCTCGATAATAAGATCATTAAACCGACAAATAGTTTTACTTGAATACACCTCGAAAATGCATTAAAATTAGATTAGGTAGGTCAGGTTTGTTCAGACTTCTCATACAATGAATAAAGAAAAATGAGTAAGGTCAATTATTATTTTTATTACCCACTATTATAGAAAGGCATTCGTAGTTAGACATCATGTATTATAAGATGGTGGAGGAGATTTGTAGCTCAAGTGGATGATTTTGATGGAGTTTTGTTCTCGGAGCTGAATGGTTTGGTTGTGGAGCTTTCGAACACTTCACTTCTATCTGAAGTGAAGAATACTGTTATACATATATATAAAACAGTATTCTTCGTGCCAGCCTCACATCAACTCAGACTCGTTAAAGATTTACTTTCATTCGAAATTTAAGTGCATCATTCCTAATTCCATTTATCCCCTTTGTACTTATTCCCGTAGGTGTAACTATACACACGTTTCGCTTGCTACTAGTCGGATAGCTTGAACTGCTTACTTGAAATATATCATGAAACAATTTTGTCTTTCATTTTATTTAATACGTTGTTTAGGAACTACGGAATAGAAGGGTCAGCTTGCACACAACCAGATGATTTGGACTTCTCAGATGAGCTAGCTCTTCTATTCCATACACATTAACAAACGCAGATGAACACTACTAGTGTAGCATCAGGCTCTGCAACAGTAGGCCTCAACATACACAAGGGAAAAACCAAGGTCCTCAAATACAAAAAAGTGAACACCAACTAAACCAATCACACTAGATGGAGAAACTCTGGGAAAGGTTTAATCCTCTACGCATCTGTGAAGCACCATCGATAAACCAGTTATATCTGATGCAGACGTAAAGGCAAGGATTGGAAAGGCAGGGACATCATTCTTACAGTTCAAGAACATGTGGAACTCAAAACAACTATTAACCAATACCAAAGTCACAATCTTCAATACAAACGTCAAGACAGTCCTACTGTATGGAGCTGAAACTTCGAGAACTACTACAACCATCACCAAAAAGGTACAATTATTTTAAAACAATTACCTACGTAAGGTACTCAATATCCATTGGACGGATACCATCAGCAACAGAGTTCTGTGGGAGAGAACGAATCAACTTCCAGTCGAAGGGGAAACTAGGAAAAGATGTTGGGAGTGGATAAGATACACAATGAGGAAACCATCACACTGCATCACGAGGCAAGCCCCAACATCGAGTTCTTAATGGAAACGGAAAAGAGAAAGACCGAAGTACACACTGCGTGAGGATTTGGAAGCAGACATAAAAAGGATCAACGTCAACTAGAAAGAACTGAAAAGGATCGCTCAGGACAGAATTAAGTGGAGAATGCTGGTGGTTGGCCCATGACCATCCATGAGGGGTAACAGACGTATGTAAGCCAGCAATACACTTTTGGAATGTGTCAAAGCAATGGCGATCATGCTCATTAGTCGACGAAGCTTCAATAAGCTCTTTACTAGTAATTTGTTGATCTTCTTGTACTCTGAATTGGTATTTACGCTTTATCAAATTCAGAAAAGTCGTGCCTTCTTTACTGTGTTTAGCTTAGGTTAAAATGTGACTATCTGTACTCAGTGGTTACGATAAATTAGGATTGCGGAATCAGTTATGCGTTCTGAGTAACTGTGCAAATTGATGGTTGTTAGTAATAAACAAATTCTGTTCTGTCATATGACAATTATGATAATTATCATAGGTATAATGAGAAATATTTCAGTTTCATTGAGAATTTGTTATTCTGGTAAAGGTTACTTTCAGTCATATGAAGCAAAAGTAAGTCTATTCTCATACTGAAAAATATGCTTACCGTATGCATTATAAAACCAACTACTGAGTAGAAGAACCAAGAGTGAGAGGTAAGCTGTATTGGTTAAACGAAATCGAGAAATATCTGTACACTTATCTATATACATAAAAATGTCCCTTAGAAACTTGAGCAACATATTTAACCAATTGAATGTCTCGTTCGTAAACGAATGACGATTAGCCTGTATTCACCTATGACAAATGTTTGATTGCCTCAATGTATCAGGATTCCAAAGTAGATTCCTCTCGTTTCATACTTGTCATAATACGCGATTTCAGTTTTCCATATCTATTGATGTATTCCATTTTTTCAATCCATTTTCACCCAGCTAGGTTGTTTGGATACTGAGTTATGATAATGTGCATACTCTACGATAATTTACTGTTCAATTCCATACATAGCTATTTTAGTAATTTGAACTGGTATGTTTATTCTATCCATAATTTGTTGAATGAATAACATAGAATGTAAACTGCACTTTTCTTGCAAATTTCATTGTTTTTATAGGAAAAAAACACTGGTATAAGCTGTCAGTGTTTACTGTTTATTTTTTACTTAGACATAAACTGATTCAATAGAAAGTGCATGGATCATATTAGTACAATTAACTTAATCGAATGATAGCATTTATGCACTTCATTACATAAACTCTACGTCACAACCTGATAACAAGCATAATTTACTAATTCCAGTTAAGTATAACAATCTGCAATAAAAATGATTCGTAACTTTTGTTTACACAAATGATTTACAATGATATGTTGGGGATAACATGATCCCGTCTCAAACATTTGTTTAAGGCCTAATGAATTTCAGTTTCAGTTCTAGTTTGGAAAGGACAGAAAGCTTGATAGCCTGTGTTAGTCCTAGCAGATGTAAAAACCTTTACATATCTGGACAGCATCATTGATGAACAGGGTGGATCTGATGCACATGTGAAGGCGCGGATCGGAAAAGCAAGAGCAGCATATTACCAACTGAGGAACATCTGGAACTCAAAACAACTGTCAGCCAACACCAAGGCCAGGATTTTCAATACAAATGTCAGGACAGTTCTACTGTATGGGGCAGAAACCTGAAGAACGACGAAAGCCATCATCTAGAAGATAGAAGTGTTTATTAACAGTTTTCTATGCAAAATACTTTAGATCCGTTGGCCGGACACTATTAGCAACAACTTACTTTGGGAGCGAACAAACCAGATCCCAGTGGAGGAAGAAATAAGGAAGAAGAAGCGCTGGAAGTGGATAGGACACACATTGAGGAAAGCACCCAACTGCGTCACAAGACAAGCCCTCACATGGAATTCTCAAGGTCAGAGGAAAAGAGGATGACCAAAGAAAACATTACGCCGGGAAATGGAAATAGACATTAGTAAAATGAACAAGAATTGGATGGAACTGGAAGAGAAGGCCCAGGACAGAGTGGGTTGGAGAATGCTTGTCGGCGGCCTATGCTCCATTAGGAGTAACGGGCGTAAGTAAGTAAGTAAAGTAAGTTAGTCCTGGCAATTATGGTCCACAGGTGATCCAACTTTCTTTTAAGACAGTCGATGAATAGAGCCTTAAACACGTGCCGAAGAAATGTATTCCACTCATTGATGACTCGATTGGAAATTCGATAGTCAGCTGACAATTTATTTGTTCTGGGCTTGTGAACGTTTGTGGATTGTCCTCGTAAATTCTCTGTTTTGAATGATAAGAGAAATGAGAGCATATCAGATACACATTTTTCACTGCGTAACTTGAAAACTGTAATCACGTCAAGCATCATACGTGAGCTTCGCCATTCAGGGAATCAGCTTAATTGCTGTTCTCAAAATCTTTTCCAAAAGCTCACTGTCTTTTTTACTCAGGAACTAGTCTCTTGTATGCAGTGCTCAAATTTAGGACGCATAAACTATCTATACAAATTCAAAAAGTTATTGGCGTCGGCTTGACTCAAGGCACCACCTATTGACAATAATGTTGTGAAAACTTTGGTGACTATTGCACGGCAGTGCGCAGTAGTCTTCAAGTTTTGGCTAACGACGACCCCTAAGACATTGTTTGTCTGAACAACAAGTAGCTCAGTGTTACTTATCATGTATTAGTTAACTTTTGATTTTTAAGCGTGTATCAGCTTTCACGAGCCAACAATAAGTTAGTGAGACATGAATAACCTATTCGAAAACCATGCTGCTTTTGTGAAAGGATCCGATTTCTATTGACTATCACTGATGATCACACTCAGTGTGTGCTTTCAGCCCAGGGCAGAAGATTGATTCACCGAACATAAAAATGTCTCAAGGATACAAAGCAAATATATAAATCCTAAACATGTGACATTAATAATAGTTACGAGAACGGTTCAAAATCTCTAGACTGGGCTGTAATTCTATAAGCTAATGTTAACAGTAAACGACATCTTTACTTTCAACCGGTACTCCTCTTGTTCTACTCCTGTAACGATAGGCGCAAACCTGGATTCGAGGACAGGAACACAACAAAAGATGGATGGAAGAGCGCTTTATATACGAATAAATAAATATCACTGATAAATTGCTGAATAGTTAAATTCGCGTTGATCAGTCAAAAATTCACATGTGAAAACTTGCAGAAATCGATGGGAGTGGTAGTGACACCGTTCGAAATATTGCTAGCAGTCATTAAAACTTGAAAAATCTCCTTGAACGAGTCAACTTTCGAAATCACGGTCCCAATTTCCATAGTAATCCAGTAACTTTTTTCCCTTTATGGACCACGTGAGATAGGAGTGCTCATGGATAGTTGGATGGGCGGACTCTCCTTAAATTCATCATACGATTAAACTCATCTTAGTTTCGTAGCAGCTAGTCGACGTACATTCATGAATACAGATATTCATAGAGTAATGATGTGGTGTGACACTTTGTTATTCACACATGGTAATAACAGATAGTTTGTAAAGTTGAGCGTACTTATCATGCATCAGTACAAATTAAGGACTGACTAGATGATTGATCATGTCAGGGCATATCTTGTAACTAGAAAACAAAATTGAAGACAAATAGTTCTTCTTGATTAGGAGGGTTTCATGAACGTTGCAGACTTTTTGCAGCCTGGTTTTATTTAGACCACTAATGAACATCTGAAAGCACTGGATGTATTGGTGGTTGCGATTATGCCCTGATAAGTTTCACTTCAGAATGAGATGAGGAAGATTGGTTGTCGTCATTTTTTGTCACTCGTTTGTTGAATTTGATCAGCAGATCATGGTGTTCTAGTTGACCCTCGCCAACGAATAGCACTGAGATGTTTACGACAACGGAAATTTAGCAGAGGAGTTTTCATAAACATACATTTACATGCGCATGCTTTTAGTTTATGTGTTGATCGGTTTTCTATTTGGCACACCAGATTAAAAACGTGGTCTTGTTAACGATCATTTAAATATGCAGGAAGAACTCTTACTCCTACCTTGTCTTCAAGGAGTAGATTCGTCTGCTACAGTTGCTATCAACGAGTGCTTGGTGGGCGATTCACCCAAGAGATTGTTTTGGTGACAGAAGATTTAAGTTTTAGAAACTTCAAAGTCTTCTACAGCTTGGGGATGACTGAACGAGTGTGCGATACTGCCGAAACTGATAATGACGACTTTCCTCTTCTGATTTGTACAGAGATATTCTCGATTATTTTGACAAGTTATTAAAGAAAAAGCGTGATTCAGATATCCGAGGCTCCGTTTACGGTATTGTGAGAGTTTTTGAAAAGAATAACCCCAATCTTGGCGGTCCTTATGCTCTCGTAGAGTGAAGTTAGTCTATTAATGGCGTTATCTTAGAACGGAACGAGAACCACATGAACCTGTTTTGCAAGTTTCGTGAAGGACATTTATCTAACGAGACCCTTATCAAACTTTCTTTAGGTAAAGATTTATTGCACTCGTAACAATATTTATCTTTTCGAATGATATCCTAGTTCTACATCGTAGACGTGTTAACCTAACTGTGGTCAAGTTAACCTCTACATAGAATGCACCTTAATCAACTGAGCTGTCACGACAGTAGCACACGAATAAGAAATATGTAAGCTAGTGCGCTGGCCACCGAAATGCACAGGACAAAACAGCGAATTAGTTGTAGTATACCCCAGCCCAGAATGTGAGGTGGACAAATCACTCTTATGTGAAATTGAATCCTGGACAAACGGCTCAAGTCTCCCATACTAGGTGAATTCAGTGCATACTCTATAAACTGCGGAAATTTGGAAGTAGGGTTATCTAGAACATAGTTTGATTACAAATTGTTTGAAACCAAAATTACCTCAGCTTTATTCCAGCACATTTGATTCAACCAGATATGAACTACGAAAATCCTCATTTGTATTCAAATTAGTCTTTACACACGGAGATGATGTCAGTGGGATAATGCCCCTTCTACGCTTTAGGAGAAGTGATTATGCGGTCATTTTATTCAAATTCATGGATGACATAGTCTGTCAAGTTGATGCATCATCCTCTTCCTAATTTAGGGAAGTACGTCCTATCATTATCGTCACCTTAGCCTTAATTATTGTTAATATTACTGCATTTCCATCTTTACCTATGTCGCATACTCCCTTTATTTAATTCATAAATGCTTACCATATCAATTTATTTATTGTTTACACTTCTGTGACCTCTAATGATGTTAATTATTGTAACGAATACATTCTAGTCAACTTATCACATTCACGTCATAATTCGTCATTAACTTATTAAGTCTATTGTTATTTTTCGTACCACGTAATCCGGTATTATAATATTTCTGTCGCGTCATCTTCGTTATTCGCGTTAATAGCTATAATCCTGGGGGCTGCACATGAGATAACTGGGGAAATAAACTTTAAACATTTAACAGTCATTCAATTAATTCAAATTAGTCGGAGAGCATGGATCAGCATCTCAGGCGTGAATATTTTTGCGTAACTTTTATTCCTATTAAACATATGTTCTATCTTCAGCCTAAGTGTGTTCTACATCATGTAGTGGTGATTGACACGATACGAAGAGTCAGTGTAGACAATGACGTGAAGTCCACATAAGATCTTATAGATTAGGCAGTCACATCATAACAAATCTGCAATCTTAGTATTAGGTCTATTATTAAAGCAGTAGAATATAATTCTACAGTCACATGGTCAAGTTGAGTCACCTGCGGACTGGAAGGATACAATCGCGACTTTAGTATATAAAGCAGGATCAAGACAACCTCCATCATACTACAGACCTGTCAGCCTCACTAGTGTCGTAGTTAGAATACAGGAAACAATAATTAAATAGACCATGATGACATTCGTAGAAATCAACAGCTTGTTAAACAGAGAAAAACAATGCTTCAGAAAAGGGTTGTCTTGCACAAAAAACCTCCTCATATCAAAACAGAAACCGCCAGTGTTGCTTAGTGATTGAAAAACAGTGGATGTTGCCTACAAAAGCTTCATCAAAGCATTTGATAATATGCCGAAAATGGAATACTGTTAGAACTGAAGAATCTAGTAGATGTTGGACCTTTTGCAAAGTGGATCAAGGATTTCTTTGTAGGTCATAGACAGAAGATAAGAGAAAATTTTAAATGCTCACTCTGGAAACCAGTAATTGGTGGAACGCCACGAGGTTCTGTGCTGGGTCCTAAACTTTCTATACTGAACGTAAATGAACTCACCAGTATAGCTTATTCCCAGATGCTACTTTACCTTGATGTCAAAATCTGACGAAAAATAACAGGAGACTCGGGTGCAAGTGCAGTTACAATGGATTTAGATGTTCTGATCAGCTGGTTTGAAAAATGACTGGTACTTATCAACGTGACTAAGTGTGTCTGCATGCACATTGAGAATGAAAAGGTAAATAGATACACTATAACGGAAGAGTCAATGTCCGTAGTTGCTTCTTACAATGATCTTTGGTTATTGGTGAGCCACAGTTTTATGACCACAGTGTATTACGGCGAGTCTCAGCTAAGTGCTCTACAACCACGTGGGTTTGAGGATAAACATTCACTAAAATAGGCACGAATATATTCGCTACAATATAGAAAACCTTAGTGAGATCCGAACTTGAAAACCGTGTTCAGTTTGCAAGATACTGTTTCAAGGGTGACTCGAGTATCGTGGGAAAAGTACAGAAGACAGCTACTCGTGCTGTTGCAGAACTCCGATGTTTACCGTAAAATAGCGGCTTAAGAAGTTGCCTCCTTAACTTTTCCTACTGCAGATGGAGAGGTGATATGACTTTGAAGTGTAGAATACTGAGAAATGATTTTGGACCCGATACATACTCTCTTCTCTCTCCTTATAGATCGGGATAACTCAGAGGACGTGGCAGGAATGTACAGAAACTAGAAACTATCAAAATACCAATGGTATATTGGTTTTCACACTGAGTTATCAATTGTTGGAACCCGTTTACTGAAGACTTGATGTTCGGACCTCAAATTAACTCGTTCAAGAGAAGAGTAGACACCTTCATAAGCTTGCTAGAAGAGGAATAACATTGAGTTTCTGTGTTCAATGAACAAATCTGAAACAACTCAAGACCTTACGGAATCGTATCAGTGGAATACTAAATTCAGTTTTCTCGATAGACTGCTAACACAGTAACTCGGAAATGTCTCCATCTACAAGTATTTAGGTTTAAGGAAATCACTCAGTTTATACTAAGTGATAACAAAGACATTGGATATTGGATTAGGAAGTTGATTCAAACAGTCTACTAAAACGTCGATCTACCTCCGGCGGGCTCGAGGACTTTCCTGTGATGGTGAGTTGCTATCTATTTTTGGCTTACGGTTGCGAGGCTTTTAAATAGTGGGATTTAATTCAAGATGCTTAAAGCTCAATATAATGTTTTTAAATATGAAGCAAAACAAGTATTTTGTCTGTGTCATTTGTTTTAAAATGGGTGGTCACCGTTGTCAAATTAACTGACTTTTGTGTAAAATATATTTAAGGTGAGTAAATACTGTATTATGAGAGAAATAAAAAAATACAGCCTTGATATACTTAAGGCTATCAATTCCAACGGGTATTCCTCATAAACCCTGACTTGATAAGAAGCGTTCGAGTAGAAAACCTGCACAAGGTTGGTGTTCCTCTGCTACATCATTCAGTTACAGCCTCCGAATTAAGACCTGTTAATCTACATAGTCGAGCACCACCGCACGGCTAATAGTTACGATTATGGTTGGGTTTCGTTAGGTATGTCTGTGTGTGCCTGAGACCAGTCCGGTTTTACTGGGTTTACTCATTATTAGCCATATTTAAGCCTGGATGGTCAATGAGGCAAATATTTTGGGCATTATTAGTCATACTTACTCCTGTATGGCTATCACTAGGTGATTTTCTTTGTAAACTAGAATGATCAAGACCAGCCAAATAGAATTTCATCTAGTTTCCAAACTAGCTAGGGTCTCAGTCGATTTAACAGCTTGGTCTAGACCAACACGCCTAAAGATCTCGGGGTTTAGTCTATCAGTGTTCTGGCCATCGAGTCATTGTCCTATATGTTCTCACTAACTTAAATTTATATTACGTTTCGTCGGCAATTCTGAGATTCGACATGACAATTTCATCTCATTGTGCTATTGGAGTGAGTCATCTTAAACCAATATACATACGTACCAGGCTTCATGTCGTGACTAGCTGGCTTGGTGATTCTGATATTTTACTGTTGCTTATCATCGCCAACTTTCTCATCGCTTTTTTTCACCTGTTCACTGTTGCTTTAGATCTTTGCGTAAACTGTTTTACATTTTACGTTCAAGTCCCGCTCTTTCCCCGTCGTGTTTGGAGTCAGACGGTATGATTTTTAAAAATATAACAATTCAGTAGACGCTGCTGGAATCCACTCATTGTTCCTAATTTATACGTTCCAGTACGCGGTCATTAACTGTCCATAGGTAAATGCAGATTACTGATTGTCTTCCCCTAAAACTTGAGTTTTAAAATTTCTTGCTTTTTGTCCACTAATTCGTCCTCTTCAGATCAAGTTGCTCCTTATCCTTCCAACTACCGTTACTGCCACCACTAGATAGTTCCATCTCGCTATGTTGATATAACTTATGAGCTTTATTCTATGCACAGATTTGTTAGGTTCCCTGTTCCTTATGACTGATTTAAGTTGTATAGCAGCGATTTAGTAGTTAAAGTGTCCAACTGTCATCCTCTGTGTCTCAGGTTCGAGATTCGCCCCACCCACTTGGATTCGCGTAACCGGATAGTATCATTAGCCCTCATATTTGAAGTGTGGCTCATATAAAAGTATTTGGAGAGTTAGTCACTTTAACCTTGTAATTAATTTCCCGACCGTTGTTGCTACCTTGACGTGGTGGTCGGGCTTGCCTATCGTGATGAAGCAACCGAGCTATACTGGCTGGAACAACCGTTCCTCAAGGTCCTACCATGTCAGACAGGTCGGTTAAAGAGCGGTAAGACTAAAAGCAACAAACCCAAGGTCCGAAGGCGAAGTCGTCCGATACCAACCCATTAGGGCTGATCAGACTTCCAAAATAAGTGAAGTTGTCAACGCGTTCAACTACCTCGCTCCCTATCCTTAGTTCAGGTGTTGACGCAGACCAGTCCTGAAACAACAACTCGCATTTAGAGGGAGAGAAGCGCATCCCGAACATTCTGGCATTGTTGTTTAGTGCTACCAGAAGACTGCATTTTGTCAGCGCCTTCACCAAACAGGACTGTGTCGTCTGCGTATCCTAAGTCGATAAGTGGACTTCTTGGAAGGAGATCAATAACCGAGAATTCAGTCGACGAGAATGTTATTTCCATCAATAGGTCTATGATGAAGTTAAACAAAAATGGGGAAAGTGGACAACCTTGACGGACACCACTTGAGGTTGCAAAAGTAGATGACAGTTCGCCATAAGCTCTGACTCGACTGGTAGTGTTCGAGTAAAGAGTCTTTACAAGGTTTATGTACTTCTGAGGTACGCCTTTCAATGACTGTAATTAATTTAACTTGTGTTACATGAATCATTGGTTATAAACGTTTTGGTCGTTGGGTATTCTGATATGTCCTCATCCCATAAATATCTTCAAATTTGGCCAGAAACTTCAATACTGCAAAGCGATCCTCTGAAAACTGATGTTTGAAATAGTTTGTGATCGAACAATCGGTAGCTGTTTTTTAGGTTTACTTAAGAAAGCCCGTGTTCATTTAGTTTTTATTCTATTTACTAACTAGCGAAAATCTGGGTTTGTACCTGGAATTTTATTTATTTACTCTATACACAAATACTGAAACAACTGGTCACCGAAATAAATATTTGCCTTAAAAATAATGCGTTGAAATTACGAAGAAATATCGTGAACAAGAATAATAGGAGACATAATTCAGCTAAAAATACGACCAAAATCCCATTTAGGCGATTTTTTACTTTTGTGAGTGCGAAAACTTCAACCACTGTGGTCTATTCTGAGCCATTTGTGATAGTGTCTCAAGCCACTGAATTGCACTTCCTCTGGGATGCCGACTCTAGACTTATGATGGATCAGTAAATCGTAGTCTCAAACATCTTCCTTTCACATAACAGCGGCATGTCATAAATTGATCACTGCTTTTTCCACACCATATGATCTCCGACAAGTAAAGCACGATGTTGAAGTCGCCGAGATAATAACTGTGAAATATATCCAAGCTAGTAAAGCGGATGTTTCAAGATGACAACTGAATTATCGTCATTGCGCTCAAACACATTGTCAAATCCCAGTACTACTTACATCGAATTCCAACAGGATGTTAAGAATCCTCTGAAGATAGATGATGGGACACATTTTCGGTTTATGGAACTATTGATTAACCACAATTTCAACGATTTTTAACTTATAGACTGCTACTGGTTCGTAAGAATTTCCTGGCACGATTTAAATTTTCACTTGATAATAAAATTTCGTTTCAAATTCATCAGGAAGTTTCTTTTGTCTTGATGGACTTTTGTTCTCTGAGCAGCTCTACCTAAGCTACAAATCTCCACCATCTTAGTTTCTTTTATCACATTTTTTAGACATTGATTACTAACTAATCACCTAAAGCACTCTCTGGACAAGAATGGAATGGTTATTCTCCGAGTCCGTAGATTGTTTCTAACTGGTTCAAGGCAACGCATATTTTTACGTCTGCTTGTATGTGTCCGAGTTGTCACATAAGCGGATTGAGACATTGAAATGGTAAACAGCGAAGAATCGCAAGTGTAATAAAAAACTAGAGAAACAAAGTGTTCGGAGAATAGGATGTAATGTTCAAAATTTAAATGAGTACAGGAGTCTATACCACTGCAGTGGATTTAGACTCGTCAATTATGCTTTCATCATACAAATCTATACATAGTTTCACTTTTGAGCTGCATAGTGTTATCACTAGAGTTTATTAATTTAATAACAATTCAGATATACTTAGCTTTTATCGTGAATCTATCAACTTGACGTATTAAAATGAATGTAAACTTTTAAGACTAAATTGCCTTTTTATGGATTTGCTTTCAGTTAAAACTCCTACTCTTTAATGTATATTGAATAAACAGAAATATGTTCACATTGATTTTTCGATAAGTTCTATTGTTTTGTTTTTCAGATATATGCTCTCAACTTACTGCACTTTATGCTTCTTTATATTTGCCCATAATGGATGGCAATTTGTCAGTTTTGTATCCAGATTGTAATATTCTCCCATTTGACTCTGTTGATGATAATCTGATGAACTATCCTAGGTCGTATTCCAATAGCTGTGGTCTAACATCAAGCGCATATCTGAATGAATTCCAAAACGTAAAGGATGATTCACAAGATTTCACACAGAAGCACATGTCTGGTAGAAAAACGTTCACGTGTCCTAAGTGCAACAGTTTTTATTCTAAGGACAACAACTGGTGCTCCAGCTGCGGAGAGCTACTAATTGGCGCGGAAGTATGTTCTCCAGGTGAACCAAAATTCATCTCAAATGAAGTTTCAAAGACACAGACTAATATGATGGATTCGATTAACCCTTTATCTAATATTTCTTCAAGTGTACCCATTAGTTTCAATATGTCTTGTGAGAATGCTACACACTCGCCCAATTTAGTTGCTTATCCATGTCATCCAATATTACCCGTCGCTACAGATGTAGCGTTTTCTTTACCATCTTGTTTAGCGTCAGCATTCTCACCAGGAAATCTAAATGCACAGAATTCAGAGTGGAGCAATTCATCATTCTCACCGTCAAAGCAGTTTGATCAATTATGTCATAACAAAGCAAACATTCCTTTTTGTGTACCGGTTGACCCTTCATTTTCGAGATATAAAAACTTTGGGATTTTGCAGAATGCCTCCGCTGACCAAAAACAGTATCAAGTTGTAAATAATAACGAATACACTGATCCTAGCGACTTCACATTGTTGTATCCTAAAGAAAATGGTTTTACTCAATCCATACTATGGAATTCTAAACATTTTAATGATGATAAAAGTTGCAGTCAGTTTTCTCATCTATTTACCAATGTTTCTGATTATCGTCATCGTCGTACATCTGGTCCAGGCATGCAGAATAAATTAACAAATGATCATAGTAGCTTGGAAAATGTATATCATGCTAACAGTATTCCTTCCAGTTATCATCTGACTACCAATACTTCACCAATGAATTTATTGATAAACACTTCCCAAGGCCAGTATACATTTTCAGATAATTGGTGGAATAATTCTTCAGCGTCACAGATTGTAGCCGACCTTTTGAGGGAAACACAAATTTCGGTTTCAGCTAACACTAATATTCCTCCTAAGTCAGCATTATACCAGCCATGGCAATACCGAGAAATGATTCCCTCAGCCAGTAAAAGTCCTTCAGCATCACGCAAAGGTGTTCGCATGCGTGGTGGATATTGTCGTCGTAAACACCCATCTGAATGTTCCAGAACTCAGCTTAATAATCCTACTTCTATTCAAAATCCAGCCATCTGTCGTGCCCGTAGTTTTAGTTCAGATTTTGAAGATAATAATAACGGTGGTACTCATTCATCAAAATTGCAACCCAATCCTAATTGGCAGTCATCTAGAACAGCCTGGTCGGCACATGATCCTGCAGTATTAAAAAAGAAGTAAGTTAAATCACATTATTTAGTGTTTACATTCACAATAATTTTGCCATTATCTTTATAATATTAGAATAACTTATCCTCCAGATCAAATAATGATTTAGAAACAAGTTTATTGTAAAGTATTTCACTTTTAAAATAGGTTTTTTACTGTTTCTGCTCCTAGTGTTATGAATGCTTGGCTATTTGTCTACATGGATAAATTATTTTTGGTGGTCTGAAACTTTTGAGTTTTTGAGTCAGTTAAGCTTACTCGTACCTTAGGTTATGTGATTTTTAAAAGCACGAATTCATACACTACTAAAAATATGGGCTTTTTTTACTAGTTGTCGTCAATCACTTATTATTCTCAGTAGTTATGAAATTACAATTAATATTTATTGAAAACATTCGTTTTACCCTCTAGTTATAATATCTCAGCGATACAGCTTGATGAGGACTTACTTTGGAACTCTTGAAGGAATATATACATATCGTGAACAGAAAGGAGTGATATCGACGGTTGATTAGGTTACCACTCTTCTTGAAGCAAAGTTTTGAAGATATAATTATTTATTTGAACACATAAATATCGGTGCAAAGGGGCACCAGATACATATGCGCCACACAAGTCACTTTTGTGTGTGAGCTGTGATACTACCGAGGTGCCCAGACCGAAGCAAGTGGTTTTCTTAGGGGACACACTGAGAGCCTTCGACCTAAAGGTCTGATCCACAAGGCAGTGGGGAAACGTCAGGAGATGCAGTCTTATGGTAGCCAGTGACCAGTAATCGGTTCATACGCCATTTGTTCCCTCAGGATCCTGTAACCCATGTGTACCGTTGGTTTGCAACCAAGGTCTTTCAACTCCCTTCTGTGGATCCTCCGCGTCCACCAACCCAGTTAAAGCGCCGGACATTCACTTTTCGTAAACAACACCTCCGACGCGAGAATACAGTGAGTAGGACTTCCCTGGCAGTGGCTGTATACGCGTGGCCATGTGAGAGCATTTCGAGAGGGAGAGCGACTTCTCTCCACCCTCAGCCGTACCAGGAAATCTGGGAGATATGAGTAGTAATGTACTACGAGATAGACTAAAGCAGCAAAGAGGACTTTCTACGCACCTAATATCTTTCTGCCATTTTCTAGCCGACCTATGGTGGTTATTCAATTATAAGCCATCTGGTTATGCATGCCACATCTATGTGTATCTACGAATTCAACTGTTCCTGCATAGTAATCTATATTGGAGAAAGAATATGACCGAGACAATACGGGGCTCCGTTCTATCAAATTTTTTTGGATAGCGATTTAGTAGTGGATAGGAATAAATCGTTTAATCATTTATCGGATACGTACTACTTATGTTTATCGACCTCGTCTCTTCCATTGATCGGAAAGTGTAGGGATTTGTTTGTATTCATAAGAAATTTGTAACTTATCTCTTTCATGACCAAATCAGGTTTAGAAAGTAATCTTACTTATGATTTATTATTATTACTATTTATTATTTGAACACATAAATATTAGTATAAAGAGGCACCGAATACATATGCGCTACACAAGTCACTTGATTTTTATGTAGGCTGTGATACTGCTTGGTTGCCCAGACCGTTTATTTCTCCTCACTCATTTTTCAAGTTTGTTCTCTGTCTAATTATTTGATTCCTTATTACTCAATTTTAATAATTTTTAATGAATCATATTTCAGTGTCTATTTTTCCAAGTTGTTGACCTACTTCCGATTATAAAACAGTGATCTATTTCGTTGTTATCACTGACTTATAAACTTTATTGACTGGTTTAATATTTTTATACATCCATATAAATATTACTCTAGATCAGAGTGATGCCTGACGAAGATCTAATAGAAAATAATATCGTTTACTTATATGTTAGTCCATGGGATATGGTAAATTAAACCAATGCACATCTGTATCAGGACTTTTGTCTACTGGGCATACTTTAAAAAATCATTGTACTAGATTAAGTACTTACACCTCATTTCTCAATCAATGTTGTGACGTGCAATAAAAATTAGAGTATCATATAGTGTTAGATTTACCAGTCCCCTTTATTATTGGTGTGTGGTGCATCCCACAATCTGTCATACTCTCAAGGAACATTAGATGAAAGAGATGGAAGTAAGAAATATCTCTCCATAATTATAAAAACCCAATTACAGTAAAACCAAATAATTTGCGAAACATTAACGGTTGATGTGCATCTGGTTTTATAAATTACTTATTAAGATCACGATTGTACTGGTTATATTTCGAGTGTCGTAGAAATTGAAAGTCAATCCAAAAAAACGTAGCGTATCTGTGCAATATATATTTCAAGCCTTCGGATCAAATATCTTTATATATAAATTTAAGAATGTCAAGTAAATATAAAGTATACGTTACCAAGTATATATTCACTTCAAATTATGATCCCTTGAACTTGGTCTTTTAATGTCTTCATTAAATTTTTATTAAAATATATATTCATATACATTAGTAATTTTAAAAGCACATTAATTCGGCTCATTTATTTTAGACCTGCTGCATATTTAAGAGCATCATATAGTCAAGGAAATGTTGCTTCTGTTCAGCTTGAATGTAATGCAAATATGTAAGTTTTCAAACATCTATTTTAATGTTACGAATTCTTCTATACTAAACAATCTTGATTATTTATTTATTTTAACACATAGATATTGGTACAAGGAGGCACCAAATACATATGCGCCACACAAATCTCATTTGATGATATGTGTATATTGTTTTTTTTTTTGTGAAAAAACAATATTGAAGTCATTTACATAAAACCAATTTATATATTTCCCTTCGAAGTAGCCTACATCATTCATTTTAAATATCCGCATTTATTTTCCAGTTCTAATCAACTCAAAATTGTTTTCTTACATTTTGTCACATTCACTCAGTCATGTGAATAGGCCAAAATCTGTGCATCTTAGTTTGTTTTATCTTGCCTCATTACTAGTGAATATAGAAATAAATGCATGTGGCTAGTCACCAATAGTCTCTCTATATGTTGTAGTGTTGTTGAGAAACAATACTCCATTTTTTCTCGTGTAATCCCAAAAGAAGTAGAAAACATATTAGTATTATTTGTTCATAGATATCTCCGAAGCATTGTTCGTGTTTAGTGAAACCACCGAGTGAGTAGTGCTAAAGTTAGACTTAGTGCACTAAGTACAGATGATCTGTTGATGGATAAGGATTTCTCAAAGCTTAAAAGAAAAGCTTTGATATATAAGGATTCTGAAGTCTAATTAGGTTGGTGTATGTGTAGGTGACAGTTCAGATTGTATTTTGTCCCGATTATACAATTTTATTCACAACCCTTACGGTAATTGCTAAGACGACTATGAAAATTAATGCACTACCGTTTTTCCTTGAATATCAACAAATGTCTTGTCCTTAGTTGCAGGAAACTAAAACCAAACAGTCAACCAGACAAATCTCAGCAGTCACCTCTTCCGTGTTCAAACAGTAAGTCATGTAGTCAAAAGGTCAAATCGAACAACACTACTGGATCATCTCCAGACAATCGTTCAGAATGGAATGATACACATGCCAAGTCAAATCGTTGTCATCATCACCCACCAAGACGTAATCGTCGTTATATATCGAAGAGCCTTAGTGTTTGCATGGATGGTACAACAACAAACAGTCCAGTCGCTAGTATACTGAAAGAGGTATTATTTTATGATTAAAATAAAAGAGATTGCCTTAGATCTCGATAAATGTTTCTTACCTATTTACATCTAGTAATATGCTTTCTTGTGGTTTCTAAGACTATTTTTTTAAATAAATATTCACTAAATGAAATACATCAAATAACCACTTAAAATATATAGGTGATGTAATTGTGAACGACCTCACAGTTTAGCCAACCAGGTAGTATCATTAGGTGATAGTAAACCATAATTATTTGAGTCTTACCAGTGATTATATCACTCAGATCTTTACATAAAGTCAGTTTTATAAACATGAACATAATCGTTTAGTTACAGATTGGGACTCCTCAACAGTACATATTTACTGTGCCATCAGTTTTTGAACCCACATTCTGTGGCTTCATTGGTTCGCTTGCTGATGTCATTCCGTAACAGAAACCATCTTATCACAGTAAAAATCCTCACAACCTACTTAATTAAATAAACATAATTAGTCTCCTACCGTTTAACTTCCAAAATGTATTTAATTCCGTCAATAGAGATATATTATAGCTGTATCTGTCATCAAAAATGCTTATTCAGAAGTATGCCTTGAAACTTCAAGTTTTACGGCAATCCGCATAAATTTTTCCTGTGTCGAAGATTGTTCAATTTAACTTGTAAAGTAAATCTATAACCACTTTTATTTGTCAACCTTTATTCAGGGAATTCCAACAAATGTTCATACTAATAAAATTAGCGAACCTAAAAATGAGTTTATTACATCAAACTGGCTACTGTTGCCCGATGAATTATGGCTTGAAGTACTACGATATTTAAGTCCAGTAGATCGTGTACGGGTTGCTCAAACTTGTCGACATTTGTCCAGACTTTCAATGGATCGTTCATTATGGCGAGTCATCCATCTTCACCGACAACATCATTTGACTGATGCAGATTTAGTGAGAATTGGAAATCTTAAACCGAAAGAATTACGTTTCACTTATTGTCGTGGTGACAGCCTAACAGCTACAGGTGAGTGAGCGATGTATATGTTGACTTTCAATTTTTCCTGTTAATCATTCTTTGATTTCACGCCTTTTCATAACAAACATGTTTATTAATTACCCTCTATTTCCCGACACAACATATTTTCGGGTCTTCTTTTCTCTTCGCCTTCAAGATTCCAAGTCAGGGCTTGCCTTGTGGTCCACCTTGATGATTTTCGCAATATATGTCCTATCCACTTCCAGCGTCTTTTCTTAATTTCTTTTTCGGTTGGAAGCTGTTTTGTTCTCTCCCACAGTAGGTTGTTGTTGATAGTATCCGTACAACGGACATTGAGTATTTTGCGTAGACGATGGTTTGTGAATACTTTTACTTTTTGATGATGGTTGTAGTAGTTCCTTACGTTCCAGCTTCGTGTAGTAGAACTGTATAAAATTTATGTATTCAAAATTTATCCTCGTATTTGACCTATTTACTCTGTTATTCTCTGACGTGAATTATATACGAGGGTTAGTGGCATGTATATTTCGTTAACATCATACGATCTATCCTGTGTCACGTCAAATAATAAGCCCATACGATTGTCTAGGATGTGGTCCCCTTTTCTAAGGAATAAGGTACAGCCCATTCGTGAAAGAGTGACCTAAGGTCCTAAAGGATATATATATATATATATAGTGTACAGTTATCCTTCGATCCGGTTAGCCAATAAAAAATTTGCTTATCGGTATCGGAATTTGAAACAACTGGATTTCAATCTGTAATGTACTGGGTCGGTCAGTCAACCTATTGCTACACTTTCAAATTTCCAAGATCTAACATAATAGTTTTATCAATTTGACTCTATACTTCATAATATCCTAACATATGACTTTAATTTTGTGATATGTATGAGATTTGACTTAAAATTGTCTGAATATCACTAGGGGTTGAATAATGGTCCTATTAATAGTAGATTCAAAAAGAAAGTGTGATTATTTCTACTGTCTTGTTTATTTATTTCTCTTAAAGGTACAGTTTTATGTGATTGAAAGATTATTCTACATACATACGAAGACATGTTTGTAATATTTTCTTTTCTTCACCACATTAGGATTAAAACGCATGTTTCTTGTCTGTGGTCCAGGATTACAAAAACTGTCATTAATTGGTTGTACTAAAGGACCATTTGATCAAGATCTACCATTGAGAATAGTTGCTGATCATTGTCATAATTTACAACATGTGAATGCAAGTTATACTCAATCAGTACGTGATCAAACTGTGATTGCTCTAGCTAAATCTGCCACGCATTTAATTAGTGTGAAATTGAATGGCGCCCAACAAATAAGTAATGCTGCTATACAACAATTGGTTCATTATCATCAAAATACTCTTGTAAGTAAATAAGGACAGTAGGAAAAATTTGTAAATGATTTATCTATTTATTTATTTAGAAAGTAGTAATTCATTTTGTTTCTATTTCAATCTTTAACAAATCAGTCGATAATTAGATGAAAATATTAATTTAATGGAAGAATCTGTTAATCTAGCTATTCGAGCATACAAGTGATGAAAACCATAACCCACTTACTTTGACTTAATCGTCGCTATCAGCCACCGATGGAGGGGCTCGATAGAAGACTGTCGCTCGTTCTGGAGCACATGCTTAGATACAGATCATGCTCTAGTGCGAGCGCGCGTTTGCTTGCGTCTTACTGGACGTAGGAAAGATCTTGCAAGGAAACCTCTTAGGGCCCTACTTAATGATAGTCAAGCTAAGAGTATATTTCAGGAACAACTAGGAAAACAGTTAGACAGCCATGTATGTGATGCCCACCCCGATGCAGCATGGAATGATATCCGAAAAGCTGTGGAAACAGCAGTGATATCTGCTAGTAAGGTAAACCAGAAGGTTAGGGAGCAACACTGGATCTCAGCAGCATCTATCTCACTGATAAATGCTCGGAAACACATTCCACCTGGCTCTGAACATAATGAAGAGCGGAGTCAGCTTAAGCGCAAGCTGACAAGAAGTCTACGCAATGATCGCGAACAGTGGTGGGTAGCGAAAGCAAGAGAGATGGAAAAGGCAGCGGCAATAGGTAATAGCAGACAATTGTTTAGACTCGTTAAGGAAACCGGAATTAGGAACCCGACCGTTAGCGAAACAATCTCAGAGAAAGATGGACATATTATTCATTCTCAATCCAGGAGATTGGATCGATGGGCAGAACACTTTAGGGATCAGTTCAACTGGCCTTCAGCCACATTTCGGTTTCTAACGATCTCCAGTCAACCTGAATGGCAAGTTAATGTAGGTCCTCCGTCCCTTTACGAAGTTGAAAAAGCCATAGGAAATCTGAAACGAGGGAGAGCAGCAGGCCCTGACAGGTTTACTCCTGAGATTTTTAAGGATGGTGTTCCAGTATTAGCAATGAGATTAACCGAGGTCTTAGGTAGAATTTGGGAACTGGACGTAATCCCATCTGACTGGTCTCAATCACTGATTGTGCCAGTTTTTAAGAAAGGACAAAAGTCCTCTTGTGACAATCACAGAGGAATCAGTTTGACTAATATAGTGTCTAAAATATTAGCCTCAATCATACTTCGACGCCTAACTAAAGCTCGTGAAGAGCAGACTAGAGAAAACCAGGCTGGTTTTCGACCTGGACGTGGTTGTATAGATCAGATATTCACACTACGTCAGGTTCTGGAACACAGACAAACATTCAGACGCCCCACAATGGTAGTATTTCTCGACCTTAAGGCGGCATTCGACTCTATTGATCGTGAGGTTCTATGGCAGTGTTTGTCACTGAAAGGAGTACCAAAGAAGTACATTAACCTTATAAAGGCTCTCTACTCGAACACAACTGGTAGAGTGAGAGCTTATGGCGAACTGTCATCAGAATTGATCACCTCAAGTGGTGTTCGTCAGGGCTGTCCACTCTCCCCATTCTTGTTCAACTTTGTCATTGACGTACTTTTAGAGATAACACTTTCCTCATCTAAATTTACAGGGGTTGAACTTCTACCAGGAGGTTCACTTGTTGACTTAGAATATGCTGATGACATAGTTTTATTTGGTGAAGACGCTGACAAAATGCAGAGTCTTCTGACCACTCTAAGCAACAATGCAAGCATGTTCGGGATGCGATTCTCTCCCTCGAAATGCAAAATGTTGCTTCAGGATTGGGTTACATCGACACCCGAACTAGTGATAGGGAGTGAAGTAGTTGAGTGTGTCGACCGCTTCACTTATCTTGGAAGTCTCATCAGCCCTTGTGGTTTAGTGTGTGACGAAATCTCAGCACGGATACAGAAGGCTCGACTAGCTTTTGCCAACTTGCGTCATTTATGGCGTAGGCGAGATATCCGTCTATCAACCAAAGGACGGGTTTACTGCGCAGCAGTTCGTTCCGTCCTACTTTATGGCAGTGAAACATGGCCGGTAAGAGTAGGTGATATTCGTAGGTTACTAGTATTTGATCATAGGTGTCTTCGAAACATTGCTCGTATATCATGGGACCATCGAGTAAGTAACACAGTTGTTAGGAAACGGGTACTAGGTAAGGATGGCAAATCAATTGATGAAGTAGTGAAACTTCATCAGTTGAGATGGCTGGGACACGTGTTACGTATGCCCAACGACCGACTGCCTCGACGTGCTATGTTCAGTGGTATAGGAGTAGGTTGGAAGAAAGCTAGGGGCGGCCAAACCAAAACATGGCACAAGTCCATGAAGTCACTGATATGTAGGCTGAGTCATGTTGGTAGGTGTAGACTACCTGGTTGGGGACCGCGAGATGACAGCAACCGATGGTTAGAGACCCTGAATGACATGGCTCAAAATCGTTTGCAATGGAGCAGGTGCATCCACTCTCTGTGTTCTCCCAAATTCTAATCTTCTGAATTCTTCATGTCCCTTTTTTCCTCTTTCCAAATTTCTTTCACTGTATTATACTCTTTAAATAACATCTCCAAACCCTAATCTTCCCGATTACTGCTTATACTCTTATTACCTCTACCACTACGGGATTTGAATCGACAACTGCATCTCTGTGCTAATGTGGTGTGGCGACTCGAACTGATGTACGTACGTACGAAGTTCTACGTTGTTACTGACTGACTGACTGACTGACTTAATCGGCTTTATGGTGTCCCTTCTTTTGCAGCAATAACTGCACTGTAAAAACCTGCACCTTGTTAATGAATTGCATTAAATGGTGGAACAGCAACTTGGTGGTTAAAACATTCGACTCTCAACTACTGGATTTCAAGTTCGGACCTCACTTTACACATCTCAACCTAAACAACTAATTAGTATCACTGGGCCTCGTATATAAATATTAACTAAATTTTGGGCACAAGATCTTGTGCTCTGTTTTCGAATCACATTGAGTTAAATAGAAAGCTTATGCAATTGTTGTTTAAATGCAGTCAGTTAGCCCGACCGTTGTTGCTACCTTGAAATTCTGGTCGGGCTTGCCTATCGTGATGAAGCAACCGAGCTATACTGGCTGGAACAACCGTTCCTCAAGGTTCTACCATGTCAGACAGGTTGGTTGAAGAGCGGTAAGACTAAAAGCAACAAACCCAAGGTCCGAAAGCGAAGTCGTACTGCTGACTGTACAGAGGTGTGACAGCAGTAAGGTGTTTCCTTCAGACAACCAGCATGACAGCGATGCTGCCTTCCCACAAGGAGGGGTGGGGTTAGAAAAGGTCGACCCTAAAAATGCACACCTCACCTTACCTCACGGATTTCCGTCTCCGGCGGTAAGGCCCTTTGAAGGACGGAGCTAACACGTCAAAAACCTCCTACGAAAAGGCCGTGCGCGACCGGCCTCAAGCAGTTGTCCCTTGGGCACTGCGGTCACGCTCTCAGGTCACTAAGACCACCTTTAATCCAATTTCCTTTTCAGGTACCTCCAGAACAACCCTTCCACGGTGTGGGCAACCGGGAAGTGATAACCGCCCTCATACCTCTAACAGCACCCAAGACCACTGTATTCATAATCAACCTCCCTCTTCAATTCCTATTATTCCTCCTACATCGACTTTCAACTTTAAATTTCCTCTCTCGGCTTCCACCTCAAGTGTCACCATAGCCAACGATTCTAGTGAGCAAAACACTGTGCTAGGTCTACTGAAACCTCGCTCCAAACTACACATTGGAGCCTTCAACGTACGCACCCTATGTCAAATCGGTCAGCAGGCTTCCTTGGCGAAAACCCTAGAGTCTCTTTCCATTGATGTATGCTGTGTCTCCGAAACACGCATACAGGATTCCAGTGTGGTTATTCACTTGACCTCACCTCGGCAAAACGGAGAGCCAACAAGATACACCCTTCGTGTATCTGGTGACCCGATGGCAAGTTCTCGTGGACTGGCAGGTGTAGGCATAGCACTAAGCATGAGGGCGGAACAAACACTGCTAGAGTGGATCCCCGTCAACAGTCGTCTATGTGCTGTTCGGCTGAACGGCTACGTAAGAACACGGAAGGATAGGGACACACGTCGTTGCCTTTTTGTCGTTTCTGCCTACGCTCCCACTGACTGCAGCTCAGATGAAGTGAAAGATGAATTTTACAGAAAGCTGTCCGAACTTCTTCAGAAAGCTAAACGCTCAGACATAGTACTCGTAGCAGGAGATTTTAATGCTCAGATAGGTAGCTTAAACCAAACAGAAAGGCATTTAGGTGGATATTTCAGTGTTCCGACACAGCGAACAGATAATAGTGATTGTCTGCTGCAAATGTGCTCAGACAATCGTTTATTCTTAGCAAACACAAATTTTAAGCATAAGGAGAGACATCGTCTAACATGGCGACCCCCCACACCAAACCAACGATGGACTCAAATAGACCATATTGCCATCAGTCATCGTTGGAGAGGGTCGGTAGAAGATTGTCGCTCATTCTGGAGTACCTGCTTGGACTCCGACCATGCCCTAATACGGGCAAGCATCTGCTTGCGCCTCACTGGACGCAAAAAAGCCACATTAAAAAGACCCGTCAGAACTGAGTTGAGTAACGAGAAAATCAAAAGTAGGTTCCAGGAACAACTGAGGTCACACTTAGGTAGTTGTGAAGACGAGGCTGACCCAGATGTTGCTTGGAAGGGCATACAATCAGCTGTGGAAACAGCAGTGACATCTATTAGTGACTTAAACCACAGAGTTGCAAGGAACCAGTGGATTTCTTCAAGGTCTGTCACACTGATGGATTCTCGTAAACTCATCCCATCAGGTTCTCAACATGATGAAGAGCGTAAACAAATCAGATCTAGGTTAGGCAAAAGTCTAAGGAACGACCGTGAGCAGTGGTGGGCAACGAAAGCAAAAGAGATGGAAAAGGCGGCGGCTATAGGGAACACAAGACAGCTCTACAAACTAA